ATGACTACTTTGTTTTCAAGGAACCAGGATGTCTTCAGATGATGGAATCTTGTCCTTCAATGTCACAGCATCATGGGGCCATCGAGAGGCCTCAACTGTGACCAGAGGTACAGGTCCTCACCATTTTACTCAGGAGACTGGACAAGCCTATCTCGAAAAAGTCACGGCCTAGGGCCAGGATGTAGCTCAGCAGCACAGTGCCTGCCTGGCAAATGTGAGGTTCTGACTTGATCCCCAATAACAACAAAACAAAACAAATGACAAACAAACAAAAGTCTCTGCCTTTACCCTAAACTCATTTTCATCTTGTCAGAGTCCTCAAAAGTATTGACAAACTCTCGTCCAGTTGCCAGAGGATGGAAGCCTTTTCTCTAACAGCCTGATTATGGATCAGGAATCAGTGATGAAGCTGTAAAATACAAAAGAGCTTTGGGGGTGGGGGGAGGCACATTCCTAGGAATTGCAGTTCAGAAGACACTAGTTGAGGCAAACTGAAAGTGTGAAAGAGAAAACCAAAGGACTTGGGCTTAAGAAGGGCAAAACTCACGATTGATACAGGCAAGCCACAAAGTAAGTTTATGAGGCCACAGCCGATTCTCAGCCTAAATGTTGCCTGGTTTTGGATAGTGTCTCTCACACCTGAAAATGATCATCTTAGGTAGAATTTACCATAATTTCACACATTTAAGAACTAGGCTATTCTAATTCCTTCTTGTGCTGCACCAGTTAGAGCTCTGGAAAGCCTATTTCACTTCTTGGGAAGAACGTTAACACTGTAATGATAAATAAAAAATAAATTGAATTTTCCCTGTTTCCAAAAGGGAACTAGACATTGCCTTCCTTCCTTTAGAGGGAAAAATCTATGTGTAAATGACATGCCCCAAGCTGCATAAGTATCTTGTCAGCTTTACAACTTGAAAGTTTTTCTTAAACCACCACTGCCACTGCCCACAGCAGCCATCTCTTTGAGATGTAAACATTAAGGAAAATAGTGCTTCATCTCCCTGTCACACATATTCCTTAATATTGCTTAGATTTAGCCAAATTGGTTTTAACTCATTTTTATTTGCCCTTTCTCACCATTAGAAATTTCCTTGAAGCCCAGGTGTCATAGCACATGCCTATAATCCTCGAACCCTGGAGGGTCAGGCATAAGGATCACCCCGAGGCCAACTTTGGCTACATGGTGAGTTCAGGAACAGCTTGAACTATGCAGCGAGACCCTGTCTCAAACACACACACACACACACACACACACACACACACACACACACACAAATGTTTCCTTGTAGGAGAATTTGTTTCATAGATTGCTTACACACAAACTGCTTATTTGTACACACAGTGTAGTTTCATCTTCAGTTCCACTAACAACGCAATATGGTCCTTTTGAGTTACCTTCGATATAAAAGTGATATGATACTGTTTGTATTTAACCTACTTTATTTATTTTTTGGTACTAGTGATTGAACTCGGAACCTTGTGGTTGTGAGGCAGGCAGCGGAATCACTAAATCCCCAGCCCTGTATTTAACCTCCTTTAATTTGCTCTTTCAGAAAGATGTTACTTTAGGGGTGACTGTGTTTCTGAGCCTGTTTGCCCATATAAGATGTACGCAGTGCTCACAAAATGAATACATTTTATTTGTTTGTTTGGTACCAGGAACTGAGCTTGGGTCCTTGTGCTTGTGAGGCAGGTGGCAGAACCACTGAGCTAAATCCCCTGCCTGATATTTTATTTTAAATAAGTGACTTTGATCTTAACTTCACATAATTTGTTCTAATTACTCACTCGAAGTTTGGTTTAGAAATATAGTTGATTGCTTTAGCTTGCAATACAATATTCAGTTTGAGATGTGTCTGGGCTAATGTACCGTAGCTCTCAATAAGAAGTCAGTATAGCTGAGTTTCGATTTGCTCATTAGTGTTCAAGTCTCCTCTTGACACTGCAGTTTCCTGTTCTGGTCCAGCCTGTCCACCCACCGCCCCAGCTGCTAGGAAAGCCTGTTTGCCACAATGTCCCAGTCCAAGGTGGCCAACAGGGGCCGTAAGACCTAGCTGCCAGAACACAGGTGGCGCCCGAGCAAGCTTTGGGCCCAATTCCTAGGTTCCGCTGGGTACAAGAGTGGCGAGGGCATCTGGGGAGCTCCAGGCACCATCCCAGAGAGGGGAGAGCATAGAGAACTTTCAGGACCAAAGCCCTGGGTGAGGGACCGGCCCCTCTCCTTGGTCCTTCCCACAGCCTTTCCAGAAAGACCCTCACCTTCTGGCCCCAGAAGCCAGGGTCCCTTCTGTTCAGAAGCTGAGCCCCTCTTGGCTGGGCGAAATTGTATCTCTTTTCCCGCTGGGAATACTTGGTTCCCCCACCCCTATCCCCAGGGGTTCCCTCGAGTAGTTTTCACGCCAACTCCACAACGTGGGACCAGAGGCCTCAGTGCACCCTTGCCCCGACGCCTCACTATGATCTCTAACAGCTGACACCCCCTTGCTCTGCCCCAGTCCTGACCTGTCGCAGTAGAGGGGCATCCTTGAACTGGCTCAGGAACTGAGTGCCACCGACCCTGCCAGCCACAGAGCCCCCAGTGTCCTCCCCCACATCCATCCCCACAGAGGCTGAGTCCTTTCCTCAAAGTAGCTTGAGTCCCAATTCTAAAGCTTCCATGAAGGGATGTGCCCACCCAACAGCAAGGATAGAAAAGGGCTCCAGCCCTCTGCCAGGGTCCCGAGATCTCTCTTGTGGTGATTGGGGGAGGGTGTTGGGGACTCAGAGGGGAGCCCCAAACTCAGTGCACCCTCTGGTCACAAGTGCACACCATCCTTATGCTTGGCCTTGGCCACAGAGGAACTTGCAGCTCACAGCAAGAACATCCAGCACGGAACTGTCACCATCCAACAGGTATAAGCTTTTCAGTGTCTCATGGTTCAATATACACAAATGGCCAAGGACCCTCACCCCTACCTTCAGACAGTGAAACAAACAGAGGAATGAGGACACAGGAGACTTTAGCAAAGGACTCAGCAGGCTCACTATTGTTCCTTACAGATAACATGCTCCTCAGCCATTGCCTTCTTCCCAGTTCCCTTTGCCCTCGTCCAGGCTCACTGAGAAGCATTTCAGTCACAGAGCTAGAGACTCTCCGGGGATCATAAAACACGGCAATGCTCCAGGTCATTGAGAATCTCTTTCTCCATCCTGACTTCATACATGAGCGCGCTGGCGGTCCAATATGCCAGGTGAGTAGTGTCTTGCTAGCAAGAATGAGCTCTAGAAGTAAAGTGGTGGGTGGAATTCGTGGAGGGTGTTTCCTGTGGCAGAAGTGGCCAGGAAATTTAAAGGTGTTAAGTTGTCCCTATGTGGTACTTCTTGCCCTAAATGGCACCGCATTATCTTCAAATGGTTGGTGATAAGCAGTAGCATCATAGCCTTGGCTTAATGTTGCTCCGTGGACTGGGGGGTGGAAGCCATTCTCCTGCTAGAGCCAGGTGGGGCACAGAGAAATAGAGGGCAAGGCATCTATAGCCTGGCAAAGTGGGACCCAAACACACTGCAAACCCAAAGACCAAAGGTGTGAGCAAAGTGACAGTAACCAGGAATTTTGTGACTTCTCCAAACTCTTCAGAAGTTTGGGGGTTGTTTTAGTCTATTTCACAATGCTATAACAAAATATCTGAGACTGGGTACTATATTAAAGAAAAATAGATTTATTTCAGCTCACTCTTGAGGCTGAAAAGTCCAAGCTCAGAGAGCCACATCTGGCAGGAGCTTCATGCTGCCTCATAACATGGCATCACATACCGGTAAGCAGCGTGTGCAGAAATGCCAAATACATGGAGTGACCTCATTTTATAACACAGTGCTTTGGTGGTAGCCCAGTCCCTTGAGACCTAATCTGCTCCCTTGGGATAGATAATCATCCCTTCCAGGGTTGGAGCCCCCATGACCTAATTTATCTCCCTATAGGCCAGCCTTTTCAGGATCTCACCATCTCTTGGTACTGTTAATATCAGGAACCAAACTTCCAATGCATGAAACTTTAGGGAGCAACTTTTCAGACCATAGCAGCTGTTCCAGTTAGGGCCACATTATCTCACTTGCTCCCCAAAGGTTCCTTGTAGGAGTCCTGAGACACTTGCCTCCATTCAACAGATGAAAATATGGAGGTAGACAAATCTCCAGTACCTTGATGTAGTCAACACATAGTGAGGGTCCTGTGCCTGATTCAGGGGACATCTCTAAATGGAGTTACACCTCACTCATAACATAATAGCTTTGAGGAACGTTCCAGTTGTGAATTGTCCTCTTGTGTGGGCAGAAGTAACACAGCCTCTGAATACTGGTTCCTTACTTTCCCTGATGCTGCCTCTTGGCCTGGTTGGGAAGGAGGAGACAAATACAAACCAGGACCAAGATTCACCATCCGGCCACAGTTTTCCTACTGAGCTGTGTAGGACACGTACATTGGTCCCTCAGGCTTCTGACAGTAACTGTCCCCTGCTCTGGTAGTGCTCTCCCAGGTCCCAGATGCCTAGACAGGGTCTAATTTCCTGAGTCTTACATGGAAGAGCACTCAGCAGTCCCTTGAAAACTAAACCCTTCAGCCCCACCTTTAGTACTGATCAAAAAAGGTTGAGAAATTAACATTCTGCTCACATAAGCTTTAGAAACAGTGTTCTAACTCCTGCCCATTGCTACCACACAGATCCCCATGACCTCTCTTGCCCTGCACTACAAACTACTCGGCTATGAGCTCCTTGGTGTGGGTTAGTAGGCAGAGGGCAATGGCCTTGCGATAGCACCAGCTCACATTATCTAGCTAGGGTGTTACCTGCACGCAAGTGGATCCTCTCTATTGTGCTGCTTTACAAAATTCAGTGAGCGACACTGGATGTTTTGTAAGCAGATACGCATAGCTAATTACATATACATATCCTTTTAATTGGAGAGATGCATTAACAAGATGGCCTAAGAAGCTTTCCCGTTGATGAGGGTTTTTGTGACAAAAGCACCACTGGATTTAGATGCCATGGACATTTTGTTGAAATTGCACCTTTTACTTTTTGTTGTTGCACTGGGGCTTTAGAGTTTTATTTTTTCTGATTACACCCATGAAAAGATTAATTTGGAGCTTACCTTCCATAGCTTGGGCAATAGGAATGTTCTATCCTGATGAAATATTAGAGTGTACCTCTCCAGTATTATTTCTCATTGGAGCAATGTTCATTTCTGTTGACTTGAATGCCCAATACATGAATCGCAAATATTAATTAACTAAGCCTTGTGTAAGAAGACAAAGAAAAAGAACATCTAGTAAAAGGTTAAAAGGCATGCTTTTACGTCACCTAAGTTAGTTTTTCTGTTCTCAAACTACATTATTTTTCTTAAAATTTGCACATTTGTGGAATTAAGCAGTGCTGCATCACAGGCATGTTGGAAACACCACAAAGGAAAGGCAGATCTTGATGAGGCAAACTCAAGGGCAGAGCAGAGAAGAAATCTTTCTGGAGCCTTGAATGCTGTCTTTAGACTCCAGACCCCAACTGACAGTTATTTAGGGATGTAGTTCACTCTCAGAAATGGGCTATCTTCTAACAAACAGGAATATTCTCAGGATGATCTCATGCACACCTGCCTCCTCATCCTCTGATGGAAGTGTACTCGCTACCCCAGGGGACATTTTATGTCCAAGTCCTGTGTAACCCCCTCCCAGGGTAGTGATGGAAGTACCAGGCAGACTGGAGTTCTCAGTTTTCATAGAATGACATAACTTAGCAGAAAAGAAAAGCTATATATTTAGTGACTCTAACTGCCTGTTTTCCTTTCATCAAAGGGCCCCACATTTTCATTTTATTAACTACTAGGGTCAAATGAGAGTTGGAGAGAAAGCAGTAAATCCCAGCAGTCCTTTGAGGCTAGGATAACAAGTATGTTACAGAATCACTGTGTTTTTGTCCTGACACACCCCTTGGACTCCATGGACTGGCAGACGAGCCAGCCCAGGGGCTGCCCAGTCCCATCCACCCTTTTCTCAGGTCTGTCTTCTCCTGGTTTCAGTGAACATTCTAGTCCCTGCTCTCGAATCACCTGTGTCCTTTATCCCCAGCAGTCTAGCTCTCCTACTCCCTGTTCCTATGGCAGGGAGATGGGTAGGTCTTGCCTTGTACTGTAGAAAAGACATTAATCCTGGTTCCTAGCAGAAATTCTGATATGGGCCCAGGTAGAGCTCTCAAGATAAGGGAGGCTAGGAGGGAAGCCCTGCACATAACTGGTCAGTCAGCTTGATGCTGGCAGCCATAGGGGCTACAAATTGGTCTTGACAGGAAGAAACACTGACTGACTCTGGACCACATACCTGATGGAAGATGCAGATGCCCAGAGTTATAAAGGACCAAAGCACAAGACACTATACCAATCTGGATGGCTAGCCATCATTTCTGCATGACAGAAAACAGCCCATGAGTACCCAGTGGTGAGGAGAGGTATCTTCCTCCAAGTAAATCTGGTAGAGAAATGGGTCATGAGCATGTGATCACAATCAGCATAACGGGAACTCTGTTCACACTAGAGAGAATCCCATTTTCTATTGGAGTAGAGGCGATGGAGGAGAAAGCTGGCATATAACTGTTAGTCTCTTTTCTGTTGCTATAATAAAATTCCTGATGCTGGGTTAGAAAAAAAGATAAGGGAGAGAAAGGTAAAGAAAGGGCCCACTGGAGTCTAGCTGCAGCATGACTCCACAGGGATCTCTGGAGTATGACAGCAAGAAGTCGTCCCTTTTGACAAAAAGGCCTCCATATTGGCTGTGGTGGCAGGCTGACCCAGGAGTGGTGGTGGGGTTACCTCAAGTCTCCTCCACAGGGGGCTCGGCTATGTACCTGTAGCCCTGGTGTGTGATGTTCTTGCCCTGAAAGGGAAATTGGACAGGACATCAGCAGTGTCACTGCAGAGTCTAATTCTGGACAATGTGAAAAACCAAGGCCTGAGTCAGAGTGACTTTCTGAATGTCACTCAGAGATTTGATAGTTAACCAAAATTAAAACCATTTATCCTGACTTCCAGGCCAAAGCTCCATTACCCTGTCACAGATCCACCTGGAGTCCCATCCAGGGACCCATTAAAGCTGAAACTCGGAGGTGACACCATCGCCCATTCAGGCTATAGCGAGGAATTGGGGAGTTGGTGTGAAAACTCTCAGGTGGGACCTGACACAGAGCAGAGCTCAGCACACCTGCAGCAGGGATGAGAGCTTTAAAATAGTGCTGTCATCTTCTTGCTCCCACTCTGAAATGAGACCTTCTTCCCTGGATGTGTGTATTTATCTCAGGTGGCTCTGGGATTAGTATAAGTGGTACGCAAAGTAAAAAGCAAAATACTGCACATTCAGCGCTTGACTTCCAAACTTGAATTTTGAATTCCATGGCAATGATTGTAAAAAATAGGCTTTGTTGTGAGAGAGAAGAAACTCATAAACTCCTAGGTTCCCCCTGCAGGGGCTCAGCTTAGATGCCCAGGACATAAGAACACATCAACACCCAAATACAAAGGTCTCTGTACCATTTATTGATGAATACCCGAAGCCTAGAATAGGTCTGGCCCTAGTATGTGTTTGTTATTACCTGGGAAAAGGAGAGAGTGGTGCCACACTGTAGATAGGCAGGTGCTAGAGCATCAGAACTTCCTTCTGGAGATGGAAGGAGTCAAAAGCCTTCATCCTCCAGCCACAGAAAACAAGGGCAAGGCCCTTGCTCCTGATGCCTCTCAGGCCTATGGGGGTAAACGGGTGAGCTGCTGCAGCCCTGCAGTATGAAAGCAGGAAATGTAACTGAGAGCCCCTACTATCCTATGCCTATGGGCTGGGAGGTGCTGCAGGAACCTGCTGGATCAGAGACCAAGGCGAGGTGACAAAGAGAAATGTAACAGCTTGAGATGGCACCACATCCTTTTACAGGATCTAAGTGACAGGCTGTCCTACTCCTGACCATCTTGGAAATAGGGCAAATGAGAGGCACATGGGCCTGGCCAGAGGCTGAGTCTCCTTGGTAGGTTTGTTTGTTTTTTCTGGTACTGGGAATCACTCAGGACTTTGTACTTGCCAGGCAGGCACAGCACCACTAAGCTACATCCCGAGCCCTGGGGCAGGTTAATTGTGTCACAGAATCCTTTAACATTCCAAGTAAGATCCATAGACCCTTTCTCAGAACATAGTTTTGTTTTTGTTTTTGTTTTTCAGTACTGGGAATTGAACAGTCTTTGCACTGAGGTGCATCTCCAGTGTTCCTCCCCGCCCAA